CCCTAGCTATGTTTGTTTGATTGGATGATTGTATGAGTACTCCTACTTGATAATCTTGAGTTCATATTCAATCTATGCACGTTTTCATGATTCAATTCTGCTTTAGTCGAGATTATTGATTCTGCTTTGATCCTATGAGAGCGAATACCTGATTAGGTCAACAGAGCATCATAGATTGATAGTATTGGATCGATTGCTTTAGTCGAGGGTCGATTCACTACTTTGTATCGATTGAGAACCTCATTCGATAGAGGGAGTCTAGTTCAGAACGCCTTGATCGGTTGTTCTAGAGAAGGATACGTCCCTCTAGGCAATCGACTCAAGAGGGCCTAGATCCTTTAGTCGAGATTCAAGGTCTAGTCAAGGATTCTCCGCATTGTGAATGAAAGTGAAACAAGTTAGAAATCATCAATCATTAATCTGGCTAGTGGCTAGGGGGAATCATACCTAAGTGAGTTCCCAACCTGTAATTAGATTAACTAACTGTAGTTTGTTAGAATAGTTTCAGTTCTTCCATCTTAATCTGGTTTGCTAGATAATGAACTGAAGCTGAGTAATAGTAACTCTAAAGACCCGTGGATTCGATATTTATTACTTGAGCCACTATACTGCAGTCCCTTTCATTGGTTACACTTGGTGTCCTAGCGAGTCAACAATTGTTGGACAATTTATTTACCCCTGAGGCAGTCGTTTTAATTCTCTCTATTCCACTTACCCATCATCCATTCCTACAGACTAATATGACATCACTCATCGGATGGACTTTACTCGGTTAAAACTAGTTATCATGTTCTTTCTAATGAACTACTTACTGATCACCCTCCCTCTCATCTTCCCTGTGATAGCAGATTTTGGAAATTATTATGGAATCTTTCACTTCCTCCAAAACTGGAATTTTTCTGCTGCAGAACGGTGTGCAGGTTCCTACCAGTTCGATCTGTGTTACTCTTTAAGCAGTTTTTGACTGATAGCATTTGCCCGATATGCTCAAATGGAGCAGAACTATCATACATTCCTTCATCTCATGGAGGGTTTATCCCACTCTGAATGTTGGATCTGCTTATTTTTCTCTTGTCATCTTTCCAAGGCTAACATTGCAGATGTCATTTTCATTTGTTGGAGATTATGAAATGCTAGGTGATGGTCGATACACAAGCATATTCAATATAGAGGACGAGCTTTATACAAACAATACAGGGATCTGGTTGAGGAATGGGAACACGCGTTCACACCATTAACATTACACTGGAAGCACGATGGGTCTCCATTTTTTTCGCTCAACACAGGTTGGCGCCCAGAAACAATCAGCAAGATGAACTCTGTCGGCAGGGGGCATGCGTGTACGATTTGATGGGGCATGGAAAAAAGGCCTGGGGTGGCATAGTCTTTGCTGGTTTTTCAGCAGCAGGAGTGCTTCTTTTCGCTTTTGGCAAACATTATCCAGGTATTACAGATCCTTTTATTATGGAAGTGTTGGCGTTACGTGATGCAATCTCTTGGTGTCTAACACATGGCTATATGTCTGTGAACTTTTGTGGTGATTCTCAACTTCTGATTCGGCGTGTTCGAGAAAGAGACGTTTCTCATGGCGCCCGGGGGGCTTTGTTGGAAGAAATATGTTGGGCGTCTTCTTTCTTTTCTCACCTTTCTTGCAACTTTACTCCGAGGTTGTACAACCGGGGTGCCCATCTAGTGGGTACTAATGCCCTTTCATCGACAGTTCGATTAGTTATTGACTGTCGCTTTTGGCTTTCGAGAGTCTTGTAATATCTATTTTATACCCTATCTATGCAAAAAAAAAAAAACGCTTTATTTATGTTCTTTTTGTTTTTGTTTTTCCATTTTTTTCTTACGAATATGAAATGTCCATACAAATTGTATTATTACCATGGTTGTTAATTCGGTGGTGACGTTGGTCGGTTGAACCTGGTTCAATCGGTGTCAGTCATGAAGCCGACTTGAACACTGCTGGTATGACCAACATGATCCAAGTACAACCTCTAAACAAAATGACGTCGTTTTAGTGAATTTAAATAATAATAATAATAATAATTTATTATTTTTTAATTTAAAAGTTAAATGTTGATGTTATTTGTTGGATTCAAGTTTAAGAGTTTAAATATTGGCGTTAACTGTGGTATTTTATTCTTCTTTTATTTGAAATATCGTATTTTATTTAAAATTTAATATGAATTGTAAGTTAATTGTATTCAAATATATTTAATATATGATTAAATGTTTTTTTTTATGTTAATGAATATTCACATTTCTCTATATTTTGTTAAACTGGCATGATTCGGAACAAACTAATTGTACCATCAGTCGAACCATTTCACATGCTAAACCGGCACAACGGTTATACATGTTAGACAAACCCTTACTTATTATACATAGGGTACGGGAAACTGGTATTAGAGGTGGCTCTCAATCCAATCCACCAACCCATTAAAAATATCCACTTAATCCAATTCATTTAAATCCAATCCATTTGATCCAAATCCAATTGGATTGGTGAATTCATCGATTGATTAATGGATCCAAATGACAAATTACGGTTTGATACCTATACTTTTTATATTTTGGTTCCCAAAATTTAATTTTTTCTACGAAAAATATCATTGGAAAATTACGTTTTGGTACCTAAAAATTTTCATTATGACATTTTAGTACCTAAACTTCTCACATTTTACATATTGGTCCTTGGTTGAGGATGTCATTTGGATTCATGGATAATCCACCAATCCACTTGATCCAATCCATGAATCCACCAATTCATTGGATCATCCATTTGATCCATGGATCCACCAATCCATGGATCAATCCATTTGCCACCTCTAACTGGTATACACTGCCCCAATTGCTGCATTTATTACTGCCTTAATTATCATTTCCAATATCGATCTCTTCTTACTTGCTGTACCAAAGCAGGCACTTGCCGTGGGAAGAGTCAATGGACTCATTCGACACAATACCATGCAGCATAGCACTTGCCAGCAATTCTGTTCCACCACATTCTCTCCAAACCTTCAGCTGACAATGGATGAATTTGCTGCGCTCATTTTCCAACAGCTAGCTTTAGCCAGTGACATGTTGTAATATTGCTGCAGGTGATTGAGGGACCTTCAAGACGGGCTCGCGGTATACTGGCCTCTCGATCGCGACATATATATATCCTCGTCTCCAGATTTGGTATGCATGATTGTATATGCAATCGCGAATAGTCGAAGAATTGCAATTGAGCACCATAGTCGAATTGTATGCGGGTAACAGTAGGGTATATAGGGTGTTAAAGTTAGGAGCTAGCTACTAGTTAGTGCTCCATGTGGTCATGGATGGATGGCCTATGATAGGTGAGAATTGGATCGCCGGGTGATGGTGTTCATGTGCTGAAGTGGGGTCACCCCGGCCAATCCGGACAAATGGTTTCTTTTTATAGTAATAAGGGTGGGGCCCCTTTTCTCTGGAAAGGGGAAATGATATATAATTCAATATTGAAGAAACGAAAGAAAGAACGGAACAAAAAGAGTAGCAGCTTAAGGGCAGAGCTGTCTCCATCGGTCGGTGCTGTCTGTTGGGTAGTTTGCAGCTTGCTAACCATGGAAATCGGCTGGCTTTGTCGTTAACCACTCGCTCTCGAGTGCAAGAGTAGTTGAGTGATGTCCATGTATGATAATTAAAATAATATGAAAAGGAAGTAACTAGAGAAAGTATAAAATGGGAACGGATCAGGTCAGTAATCTTATGGTTAGTAATCATGAGTAATCCGTCCACATCATCATGACATAGATATCCCTCTTTCCGGGAAAGTATTTTATATTTTTCTCTTTAATAGATATCCCTCTCTCCGGGAAAGTATTTTATATTTTTCTCTTTAATCTTTAACGAACGATTTCTCTCTCGTTTTAAGTCAAAATTTAATTTTTTTTTTGCACAAATAAATCAGGTTAAATGTGCTCTTTAAAAATGATATTCACTTTGATATATTTTTAGTACAAAAAAAAATTGAATACTTTTTTACTAGTCATTATCATACGGTATGCTTCTATTTGATACCATATGGTAAGAAAATGTACCATGATCGTATGAACATACCAATATGGTAAGAAAGTTGAATACATGATAGTAGGAGTATATTAACTGTCATTTACGACTTTCATCATTGTTTACTACAAGTTACCACCCACATACCATAGTGGTAAAGTATGGTAATTTTTTGTCCAGTATTTTTTTTCACCCAGAAATTTGTAAATCCAATAGATCATGATGAACTCCTTCCTTCTGAGCAAACGTTTTAAAAAACGACTTAAAAACAAATAAGTTACCATATGGTATGTAGTTGGTAAAAAAAAAGTTTCTCGAAATATATTGAAAATTGATCTCTTTTTATAAAGCACAACGAATTCGTTCCATCTGTGGAAAAAAAAATTGAAACCCCGAGTTAGAATGAAGGAGATAAGAGCCGATTATGAAAACTAGGGAAAATAAAATGCCTTTAATTGACAACTCTTAGATCTGAATTTTCTGGATCCACTTAGATCTAAAAGTTCAGATTTAGTTACTCATAGGTCAGTAACCATTCGAATAAAATAAATTGATGGGAAGGGTTACAACTTACAAGGAAAGAAAGATGGGGGAGGAGGTCCACACGTATGGGAGTGTTTCACCACAACTTTAATTTTGATGCAGCTAGGAATCTAAACGTACAACATTGGCCTGGAGGGGAGGGTGGAGGAAAGGGCAGTTTCTGCAGAATCAGGTTGACGACAAAGACCAACAAGATGAGGAGATAACAGAATGAAAGGAAGCTATGCGTGCTGCCTTTTCCTTCTCTTCTCGTTCCTTGTAAACCAAAAAAAAGATACTACTGTAAGCGATATGTAGCGTAGATGCCATTATTCTTGTGGTCCGACCTGCCTGATCGAGGAGCTGCTGCTGCGGCTGCGTAGTCTATATAAACATGGGTTTTGCTCATTCCTGGCAAATAAGCCAAAACAACAACTACCCTCCTCCTTTTCCCGCTTTTCCATGCTGTGAAAGTTTAAAACGAAAGCAGAGAAATTCAGTGAGTAAATTGAATGCCGAGGGACAGGGATCCGCTGGTGGTAGGGCGGGTGATAGGTGATGTGTTGGATCCTTTCACGAGGTCGATCCCGCTGAGGGTGACTTACATGAACAGCAGGGATGTCAACAACGGCTGCGAGCTCAAACCTTCTCAGGTTGCCAACCAACCCCGCGTCGACATTGGCGGGGAGGACCTTAGGACCTTCTACACTCTGGTAAATCCCATCTTCCATTACTTACTGCTGTCTTTCTCCACCAAGTTAAAACCGAATCTTTCCGTCGCTGTCTTCCTTCTTGTACTGTAGATGGAATTGGCATCTCATGCATAGCAAAACCTCAACCAATAGCAATCCTAGATTAGATATTGGCAACTTGTTATTATGTTCTTTCCAAGTACTGGTGGGATTATATTGTCCAAAGGAGATAGATATACTTCTTTTGCAATATAATATTCCTCCAAGTATCAGATAACTGTTGGGAGTAATAATTGTCGAGAACCGGTTGCTCCCAATAACTCGAGTTGTTGGGAGAGGTTCAATCGAAAGCCACTCACAAGGGCTTGAAGTTTGCACATGTCTGAAGACAAGAATACCATGCGTACTTAACAAATGGGGGTCAACGGGAATCGAATACAAGACCTCTCGGTCACAGAAGGCTGTGCTGATACCATGTCAAGAACCGGTTATCTCCCCAATAACTCGAGTTGTTGGGAGAGGTTCAATCGTGGATCATATACCACAACACTAACACTTGAGTTGTTGGGAGAGATTCAATCATGGATCATATACCACAACACTAACAATAATAATGTCTAGCTACTCCTGTGGCTGCTATTTCTGAAAATAGGCCTTAGTGATGATTTCATGCCACCTTTTTTTTCTTCTCTTTTGCAGGTTATGGTGGATCCGGACGCGCCAAGCCCCAGTGACCCTAACTTGAGGGAATACTTACACTGGTAATTTCTCCAGTTTTCTTCCTATTGTTCGTGATACTGAGTTTGATCTGTGTGCTTAGTTAAACCAATTCTGATATCATGTAATAAGCTAATTAGTGGGTCACAAGAGAATTATTGATTGATGATATACCCACTCAATTCAATTACGGATGGTATTGAAAGCCTCCCGGGGTGGGAAGTGCACCACAGAATCCAAAAACAAGTTATGAGAGGCCAGTTAAAAGAAAAGAAGGTGGTGGGGGGAAAAAGGGAAGAATCGTTATCTAGTTTTTCATTGGCAGAATATATAGTCAGCAGCAAGCAGTCGGTTCCTTTTGAGAAAGCTATGTGGCTGCTGCTGGCTTGGCTACAGTGAAAGCTCATAACAAGGAATCTTAATGATTTTCTTCGCAAAGTCCCTGCTCATGAACCAACCAGTTGATCCCAATAACTCGAGTTGTTGGGAGAGATTCAATCGTGGATCATATACCACAACACTAACACGCCCCCCTCAAACGAAAGCCACTCACAAGGGCTTGAAGTTTGCACAGATCTGAAGACAAGAATACCATATGCTTAACAAATGGGGGTCACCGGGAATCGAACACAAGACCTCTCGGTCACAGAAGGCTCTGATACCATGTCATGAACCAGTTGATCCCAATAACTCGAGTTGTTGGAAAAGATTCAATCGTCGATCATATATAACAACACTAACAACAACCACCACGAACCAGAGATTTTGAAAACCTCTATTAGCTACCCCGTTGAAATTTTGCTTGCTGTCCGGCGGTCTTTGGGTCATCGGATCTCCCTTCATCAGCCTCTGCATGTGCGTCCGATGGGTGCTCTTTTGGGTGGTAGGTGGCGGCTGCTGCTCTTGGGGATTTTGGTTGGGGTGCTAGGGTTTCAGGCCATCTGTTGGGCTTAGTTCTCTTTGGTTTTGTTTTTCAGGCCATCTGTTGGGCTTTGGTCCTTTGGTTGTTGCTTTGGGCCTTTCTATGTTTCTTGTTTCTCTCCTTGGGGTTTCGGCCCAAAATCTGTTCACCCTCTGGGTTCATATCAATGAATTTCCAATGATTTCAAAAAAAAAAAAAAAAAAAACCTCTGCCGTAAGGTAATATATTCGTATCGTCTTTCATGTCAAAAACAATATTCATATATTGTTTTGGTAGTAGAGTGAGTAGGAAAACAGTTAATTGATAAGCTTTGTACGAAATGGTGGACACGTGGAAGGACGATAGAGGAATTGTATTTCCAGAGTGATTTACGTAGATTCATGTCACGAGTGGGCCAGTCCGCCAGTGGGCCGAATCGGGCAAAGGTTTCCATTTATGGCAAGTAACGAGTCCTCTGAAAAGCAAAAAAAGTTCCGTCAAGCAAATAAAAAGCACAACCAGCAGAACAAATAGACAGACAGAAAAGTGGGGGGAAAAGTGCTCATCATCTCTATCAAAGCTTTGGTGTACGAAAGGCATGGCTGTTCATAGTTTCAACTTTCAAGCAACTTTGAATAAATAGGACTCCCCCTCCCACTCACTAATAAAATTCTCATGATTTAAGTGCTCATAGTAAAATTCATGCCACAGTCAAAAAGTAAATTTTTTTATTTTTTTTGGTTGTGATTTTCTTACTGCAGGCTGGTGACAGATATTCCAGCCACTACCGGGGCAAGCTTTGGTAATTAATTACAGACCCGCAGCCTTTTTAAATCATGCAGTTAGATTAAATAATAATAATAATAATACGGCGCGTGCGTGCGTGCGTGCAGGGCAAGAAGTGGTGTGCTACGAGAGCCCGCGGCCGTCGGTGGGGATTCACCGGTTCGTATTCATACTGTTCCGGCAACTGGGCCGGCAGACGGTTTACGCGCCCGGTTGGCGCCAGAACTTCAACACCCGAGACTTCGCCGAGCTCTACAACCTGGGCTCGCCGGTGGCCGCCGTCTACTTCAACTGCCAAAGGGAGAGCGGCTCCGGGGGAAGGCGGCGATGATCCATCCGGCCGGCCGGCCGGCAGCACACGAAGAGAAAAACACACACAACACTATATAGTTAATTATTTGTGAACGCCCAACGAAGAAAAGGTTACTATACATAAACACGTACCTACGTACGTACGATGCCCACTCTTCCCTTAGTTACACTTGTGTCCTATAAAGATACTGATAGTCATAGTAATAGTAATAGTTAGTACTAATAATAATAAAAGGAAACGAAAAGTGGCGAGTCTGTTAATGGCGACTTTGTTCCACGAATATACTTACTTATTGGTAGGTTATTTTACCAGTTTCAGAAAGACAAAAGGAGGAGAAGGAAAAAAAAAAAAAAACAGTTGTCGTATTGTTAACAGGAAGAAGAAGAAGAAGAAGAAAAAAAACAATTATATATATATCGTTATTATTGGTGTATTCTGCATTATTTTACTCTCCTTTTCTTCTTAGAACGGTTGCAAATGAAGGTTTGAGAGAAGTTTAAGAATGGTGATCCAATCATGGGAAGAACACTCAGCTTCTTAGGGAGAAAACTCCAGTTTGATGTAGGAGTTGAAGGATATGATATTAACCATAATCTCAATCCACGCCGAGCGAAACCAAGGCCATGCAAAGGAGGGAAGAGACGATCATTGACCAATGAAAGACGATCATTGAACAAACACACCTGCAAACTGGCTTATCCATCGAACCCACCCGTATTTATCGCTAAAACGAAGATTTTGGATTGCGCAAGAGTTTTCTTTTGTACAACCCATCATATTTTTCTCTCATGATCTTCCTAATCTAATGCATTATTCGGCTTAAAGTTTAGACATAAATTTAATATAACTATGATTCACGTAATCCTTTTTCTTGTGTACAATTTTAATATAATAACATATTATGGATGCGTTTATTTATAACCTTTTTAGCTTATATCAACAAATATCGTGAAAAAGACTAGACATAAGTTGAAGTAAATAAAATTTTATTAAAACTCAAACAACATTTATGAATTTTGATACCTTTCACCTCGGTTTATTCGTTTGAATTTTTAATTAGTTATAAAATATTTTAATGGTGTAGAATAATTGCATATTTTGTGTTGGGTTCGGTTTTTACTTAAGAATATCATCAACCCCACCCGACCCAATTAGAAACAAACTGTAGGATTTAAATTTTTTTTGGGTGGGTTTGGGTTTAATATGTCTCAAATCGTGGTGCATGGGTCGGGTGATTAAAATGCCTAAAGCCGGACCACCCGACCAGTGGCGGACCCAGGAATTTTACATAGCGGTGTCCTCTTTCAAAAAATTAAGTAAAATAAAAATTAATAATAAATAATAAAAATTAAATAATTCTTAAATAAGATAATACACAACTCGTACAAGTTTAAAAAAATTCAATGATGTATTTTCATATTCTAAAAAAATTATAAAATACACTTGGTGTCTACACTACTCAACAAATTTGTCTCAGTATATCCTACAAGACAATCATTCACGAACTGACGCATATTTGAATTCTAAATTTGTTCTTGATGTAACTCAAAGATGAAAAGAAACTTTCAACACTTGTCGTACAAACATAAAATCAATACAAATTAAGGGTAGCTTGTAATTAGATTAATTGTTAGGTTTTGAAAATAATTAAAGATAGAAAATAGGGTTTTGCTATTACGCGGTGTTTAGAATAGAACAACAAAAAAGTTGTAGTCTAATGAAAATTATATTTATTAATAATAATTGTGTCCCGGGTTTGAATCACCCAAACTACCATTGATATTCTCATACGCAATCTACAAATGAGAGTAGGATAATCATTCTTTCAAATTTCAAAGTGTTATATACTATTATATATAATTTTTTTGTCCATACGTAAATTACCATCGGGATGGATAATAAATTTTTCCCTGCACTCAATCCATGTACACCCCTATCTTTTTTTTGATAAGGGTGAATGCATTAAAAAACCGAAAAGGAAAAGGAGTTCTGTACAGGGAGGGATCAAACCAGATTGATCACCTGCAGGGAGCAAAAGAAAAGAAAGAAAAGAGAAACCAAGGCACAAAAGCCGAACATAAGAACCCCAGCACTAGGAAGACCAGACTTCCCCTGTACTCAAGCAGAAGGGCGGCCCAAACAGCAGCCGAAAAACACAAGAGAATGGGAAAAAAACATGACAGATAAATATGAGCCCCGAGAAGCAGAGCGCGCAGCGCAAGCTAACCCCGGCGACCCGTCCTGCAAGCAGACTCACAAGCAAACAAACTCGGACCGCATCAAAGCTTGACGACCCACTCCTTCAAGCATCTCAACCCGACCTCTTTATCAATCTTACCATTCGCAATAGCCCAGTCAAACATGTTTGAAAGAGCCTTGCGAGCCACAACCTGGGAGAGGTCATCCATTGGGAGAGTTCACAAGCTGATGGAACCACGAACTTGGTTGCTTGTAACTTAGAAGAGAGAGAGTATGAGGCCGAGTGCCCCAAAACCCATTTTGTTACAATATTTGATTGATTGCGTGCAGACTATCTTTGAAATTAAAATTGTTGAAGGACGTAAATCCTACTACAAAGACTACCTATAACCTCCCTCATTTGAATCTACCCTAGCCAAATCGACAACACAAATAAAGACTCATAATGGCTTACTAACCTTCTCGACCCATGCAGTTGCGGTACTAACTAGCCAGGATAGCGATGCGGTTGCGGTTTTTTTTTACTTTGAATCTACAAAATATATAAAAGCAAAATATAGGTTAGAATTCTCTCATTTCAAATTTTGTAGGCTGAGAGTGATTCTAGGAAGGTCATTTTTGTCATTGCACTCAATTCATGTTTATATATTAAAAATATTTTTATTGAAGTTCAAACATTGATCACTTAAATGAAGAAAGAGCATTGTAATCAACTAAGCTACATTTTATTTATTGTTATTTCTTTGATAAAACTCTAGGAATATGTTTGGTGAAGATGCTTCTATATTTATATTTATCTTAAGTTATTTATATTTTATAGAAAGATATTCGTTCTAAAATTGGAACTCAAGTAGTATTGACACAAACATTAATATTAAATTGGATGTGTTGTTTAGTTTAGACAAAATATAGAAGTGTAACCAAAACATGGACTTTTGTGACGAGTATAATCATTTTTTTGTGACAAATCTACGCATAATATAATGATAAAATCAGAAAATGAGATTCTCATTTCAAATTTCGTGGCCTGAGAGTGATTCTAGGAAGCTTTTTTCGTCATAGTGCTCAATTTATCTTTATATTATGTGTAGATTTGTGACAAAAAATTACTACATTTGTCACAAAGATCCATGTTTTGGCTACACATATGTATTTTGTCTAAACTGAACCACACATACAATTTATTATTTAATGTTTGAATCGATGTTACTTGAGTTCCGATTTCACAATTAATCACTTTCTATACGATATAATAATTTCAGGTAAATATCTTTCCTACTTTGTCGAAGAAGCTCTTTTTATAAGATATATTCAATGTTTTAAGATTTTCTATTTCAAATTTCGTGAAGCGAGAGTGAAAGTAGGAAGAGTATTTTTGTCATCACAATTATTATCTACTTCATATGAAAAAATATCAATATCAAGATTTGAACCATGGTCTCTCCAAACAAAAACAATAATCACAACCAATTACACTAAACATATTTATTTTATCTTTTTAATTGTAACCATGCACTAAGCGAAAATTTGAAAAGCAGAGAACTTTTCACGGTTAGCTAGCCTATTAAATCTTCTGAAAAGTAAAGTTTAATATGTGATCTATAATTTTTATAACCTATAAATTGACGGGTAATCTTAAAATTGCAACACAAATTTTATTACTTGAAATATTGCATATAGAATTGCAGTATTGAATATGCAAAAACGATGTAGAATTCTTTAAATTAATAAAAATTTCCAGAACTAATACGAAACAATAATATTTTGTACAAACTATAGGTGATTGATTCTCTAAAATTATAGCCTGGTTAACTGCTAAACGGTAAACTCTTGCTAATCGGACATTAATGGATCCAACAATAATGAGACGATATCGAGTTTAATATGATGTTCATTTCATCAGTTTTGGATCAGATGTGTTGATAAATTTATAGGTCATTAACATATAAATGAGTTATAATTAACCTCATTATACAATTTTTACTCTGTATAATAATTAATTTAATTTTAATATTTGTGAAGTTTGAAATATTTTATGTATGATTTAGAGGTATACTTATTATTTGTGACATCAGTAGTAGTTGTTTCAAATGTAGTATTTCAACAGGTAGTCAAAATTGAATACTGGGTGCATTCATGACTATTTTTTCATCTTGGTGTTGTTAATAGGTAGAATTTTAATTATTAGAATGCATATAACTATACTTAAGCATATGATCGAGCGAGGCAGTGAGCACGACACAGTTAGGCATACCATGAAGACAATGTATATGGATCGGCCCTGTACAAGAATGATTGCTTCATGGGTCGTACCAGACTTAAACTTGAAAGGCTCGCGCAGAAGTGTGAGCACCACACAGTGTATATTGGTGACCTCATGTTTTATGGAGAAATGCGTCATTTGATAAACATAAAATAAAATATTCTAAAATAACAATAAATTTGAATTAATGTGTAGTTTTTCACATCAACGTGTGACAACTTGTATTCTAAAAGGTATATTAAATATATTCATTGTTTACTTTGAGACTCACACATTTTTCAATATATAGAACTCAACAGTCATTTATAAAATCATTCTTGATTAACTTCATAGCTGTAAAGTCCTTTTTACCGCTTGTAGTAATAACTAATAACAAACAATATCAACAATTACTTTAGAAGCAAGTAAAGTGAAGAAGAAATTGTGGTTTATTATTTTTTTGCAAGTGTGTGTGTGTTTGGTGGAGTGGGGAGATTTTTTTGGTCTAAAATTTTTGAGGAAGAGTTGAAACTCATATCATTTGTTTGAATTTTGTATATTGAATTGGAGTATTGAACATTTGGAAGCGATATATAATTTTTAAATTGGTATTAATTTTCACTCTGGTTGACCAATAGCCTTAGACCTTTTACTAATCTGACATGGATCCAATAATCACAAGATGAGATTTAGTTTGATATGCCGGTTCAAAATCATTTTTTATGTGTAATGAATTTGTACGACAAATACATGTAAATAAGTTAAGATGAACCTGATTATGCATTTTGATTCTTCAGATAAATAAAATGGTTAAGCGAAGAACTAACTATACATTCACTCATTTGGTTTAATGAGTTATGCTTTTTTATCACTTTT